GAAGCAATTTAGAGAACAATACAAGAGACTGTTGGTAGTCAGGGCTAGAGGGTGAGCACAGGTGAGGTGCCATAGGATGCATTTCAGCTTTCATCTGGTAAGCTCAGAATGAGAGCCTCTGGATTTTCCTCTTCTCAGGTTGCTAAGGACATAGGTAAGCTCTCTTTGTTCGTTTGCTTTTTTAAGGGTCTGTGGCCCACTCTGTAGATTTCTATTGAGGTTGTCTCAGGGACAAGCCATTCTCTTGTCTATTTCTACTCTGTTCAGTGTAGAAAACCCAAGAAGCCGTGGTAGGGAAATGGCAGCCATAGCCAGGCCAACAGCAGGTGGCCTGAACCCAGGGCCAGCTCCAGCAGGTCTCCCCATAACCAATCTCTACTTCCCTCTGTGGTGAGTTCTCAGGGAGCTCTTCAGACCAGGAAACTGGGCAGTGATCAAGAGGGAAATGGAAAGCATATCTAAGGATTTCTTGAAGTTATTCTTAATTTTAATTTAACTTGTTAAAGAGTCCTTATCTTTTAGAGATATATACTGAAATATTTACAGATGAAATGATGGGTCTAAGATTTGCTTCAAAATAATCCATTAGTTAGGGGATAGAGGGGTGTAGAAACAGGGTTTATAGGTGAAACCAAATTGGATATGAGTTAGTAATTGTTGAAGCTGAATGGTGAGTCCATGGGAGTTCAGACATTATTCTATCCACTTCTGTGTATATTTGAAACTTTACCAATGAAAAATCATTAAAAATTACCTGATGTGGAAATCTAATTTCTTAGGGAAAAAAAAAAAGAAGAAGCCAGAAAGGACCCTGAATCTAATTAAACACTGGCTACAGGGAAGATACTAGGAGGAAAATATGCCACCTTTCCTCTGGATGACACTTAGCACCCTCAGATTATGGAGCTTCTGTTAGTCAGCTCAGGCCACTATAACAAAATACCACAAACTGGGTGGCTTAAACGGCATTTATTTCTCACAGTTCTGAGGCTGGAAGTCAGAGATCAGTGTGCCAGCAGGATCGGGTTCTAGTGACAGCTCTTCCAAGTTGCAGATGGCCGGCTTCTCGTTGTGTCCTCACATGCTGGAAGAGGCAAGGGAGCTCTCTGGGGTCCCTTTTATAAGGCACTAATCCAGTTTATAAGGGCTCCACCCTCATGACCTAATCATCTCCCAATGGCCCCACCCCCCAATACCTTCACATTAGGGGTTAGAATTTCAACATGAATTTAGGGGGCGGAGCCCAAACCTTCCATGCATAACGGCTCTCTTTATATGACTTGTCAGTTTTTAATGAGGTTTAGGGGTTGATTCTGACCTTTCCTGGCACCTCCTACAGGATAAGTTCAGAGTGAAAGCAGCTAACGGTCTTTTTCTTTCACACTCGGGCTTGTCTGGGCATGGGTTAGCGCTCTCTTACTCCCTTGAAGAGCCATTATATTCTGTACCCCTCCCCTCCTTTCCCAGCACACAGATCCAGGTAGTCTCTGCCGCTCACCAGCCCCTTGCCCGCGCTTCCTGTGGCACGGAGGGGTTTCAGAATGCCAAGAAGGGCACAGGCATTGCAGCGCAAACAGCAGGCATAGCTGCCGCGGCGGTAAGTGTGTGTTCTTTCTGGCTCCCTCTGTGCTGGGCTCCACTTTTTGCATGGCTGATCACTGGCAGGAAAATTGTCCTTGAGGCGGCTCTTCAGAAGCAAGAGTATTGGCCAACTCTTGTTGGCTACCCTAACATGGGGGGTGGTTTGAAGAGGTGTGTGAAAACGCTTCTCTTTTCTCTTTCTCTCAGCTGCAGTAGAAGTGAAACACTTGGTTCATTCTAGAAGAGGCAGGAGCCAGGTGCTGAAGGCTCACCAAAGCCTCCTGGATTTAAAGACCAGTGCGGTGGGTGGGGTGTGGTTGTGGTAATGGTCCATCTGGAGAAGGTGTGGCATGTGAGGACTCTCCTGCAGTATCAGAGGGAGAGTGAACTGTTGCAGACCTTTCTAGAAGCAAGGTGGCAGTGAACTGCAGTTGGTGTATTTATTCAGTATCTACTATATGCCAGACACTTTACATTCATTATCTTGAATCCTCAGAAGACCCTTGGTATTACCCATGTTTTTAAGAGTCATTTGGGATTCAGAGTGTGTGGCTTGCTCAGAGCCATGCAGCCAGTCCAGTTCTCTGAACTGACCCTGCCAGGTCTGGGACCAGAGCCTGGGCACTGTCTGCTACAACACAGGCCTCACTGCCAAACCGGGAGTATCTCTGGAAGGAAAACCTTGACCTTCAGACAAAGCTCGATGCCCCAAAATACTGATTGCTATGTATCAGTGATCATCAAAACACACTAAATGGCCACCAGTGGGCAGGTTTATACACTTAAATATGTCAGTGTTAACGGTGGCTTCTGCATGGTGGATTGAGTGACCTGTGTGTTTTCCAGATTTTCTGCTTAAACTGCCTTTATAAACAAGAAAGAAAATTTTTTTTTTTTTTTGCGGTACACGGGCCTCTCACTGCTGTGGCCTCTCCCGCTGCGGAGCACAGGCTCCGGACGCGCAGGCCCAGCCGCCATGGCTCACGGGCCCAGCCGCTCCGCGGCATGCGGGATCCTCCCGGACCGGGGCACGAACCCACGTCCCCTGCATCAGCAGGCAGACTCCCAACCACTGCGCCACCAGGGAAGCCCAAGAAAGAAAATTTTAACTGTAACTAAAGATTAAAATGATAAGATAACACTTTCTAAGAGGGTACTGAGGCTTAGCCTTGGAGTCCAGGGCACCTTATGTTCTGAAATTCTGCCTTTATCCACCTGGGAAAAATCTGAGCAATATTTAGAAGTATCCACTAGGTGGCAGTGCTGTCCTGGGCGGAAAGAGATCCCAGCTGACTGGTGGTGTCTGTCCTGCACCTCGGCCATCTGCTCTTTGCTTCCTTCCCTGTCTTCTGCCTGTTTACACGTGTGGGTGCTTGTTCCATGGAGCTCATAACCCTGTTGCTCCAGGTGGCAGTAGCAAGGGGTTTGGACGTCGCACTTCTCTCTCAGAGCACTAACCACTTGCTGCTCCTCTTCAGAAAGCTACGGGGAAGGGTGTGACCCACGTCCGAGTTGTGGTTAAAGGCCTGGGGCCAGGGCGCTTGGTAAGTGACCTCGCTTCTTCGCAGCCCAGGATGTGTGCTTGCTTCTTCAGTTAGTGAGAGAAACGGGAGTGAGAGCAGAGGAGGGAGAGTGGACCCTGTAGTGGATTCCCCTAACAGCTTGAAGTTTCTTTCCATTGCCTCTCATCTCCTAAGCTTCTCAAAGCAAGCCCTGATCACTTAGTTTCAATTCATCACACACTTACAGAGTGCCTGCTGTGTGCCAGGCACTGGGAACAGAAAGGTGGCCCCTGGGGGCCTGTCACAAATGGGTCCCTCAGTACAGACTAGTGAGTGCAGTGGTAAAGCTTGTGCCCAGGGTGCTGGGAGCCTGTTGGGTGTGATCAGGAAAGTGTCCCCAAAGAGGTGACATCTCTACTGATTTTTTGAGAATGACGAGGGACTAACCAGGTATGCGTATGGGATTGGGGGAGGGGGGATCATTCCAGGCAGAGGAAACTACAAAAGCATAATGCTTAAGATGCGTTGAGATTTACAACAGTCTTTGTTCTTAGATTGTAAAGCGCAAGGTGGGACGTGGCAGGTGGGATTGGAGATGTGGGCGACGTTGAGGGCTTGGTGAAGGGGTTGGTAGGGAGAGCTCTGTGAGAGCATCAGGTTGGGACTGTAGATATCAGAGCCAGTGAGCTTTCTCATCCCTACGCTGCACCCCCCTCACCCCCGACCGGTTCCTCTCTGAGCCCTGTCTGGACACACTGGGGCATCGTTTCTGGGACCGTGCCATCCTGCTATTCCTTCTCTTTCCAGTCTGCCATCAAGGGACTGACCATGGGGGGCCTGGAAGTGATCTCAATCACAGACAACACCCCCATCCCGCACAACGGCTGCCGCCCCAGGAAGGCTCGGAGGCTGTGATGGGCAGGAAGCCTGCACCTGAACCTGACCTCAAGTCCCACCTCCAGCTGGATGTCATGGAAAGCACACTGTCAGAGCTCTCTCCAGGGAGGGCTTGTTAGAGACCCTTCAGACAGTAAGGGAGAGCTCTGCCTCCTTATGGGATGGCCTTTGCTTGTTCCTTCGACTGGAGACCAGTATGCCCAGAAGTGCCTCTCCTGGACAGGAAGGGAGCTACAGGAGCAGCTGTGGCCCAGATGCCAACCAGTAAATGCTGCAGCTGCTCTGAAAAAATAAAAATATCTCCACCATCTGTAGTAATTTGTGGGTTTTTTGCTTCCAGCATTGCAAACAGTAACCCCCCACTTCCTCCTGAAAACGAGATTGTGAATTGAGGTGAGACCCTCAATGGAAGGATTAAGATGTAAATGTGGGCCGCTAAGTACCAGGCACCTTCCTCTTTGGTTTCACATATTTCCTTTTTAGCCCCTTAACTAAGGGTTCCAGAGCTCATTAGGAACTTTTCTTACTAACTTGTAATTTGGCCCCAAATTGAGAGCTTTGTGCCTCCTACCTCTGGAGTATTCTGATAGCAGGTTGCACTGTTAGCAGGCGTGTCTAAAGTTAGTTAGCCCTAACAGTACGGGAGAGTGGTCCTGGAACCATCAGAGATTCCCCACAGTCAAGGCTGCGTTACACACTCCGTGGGCGTCAGCAACCCCAACACCCGAGACTGCATGACCCTAAAGGAGGGAGGGTAGAGTGGTATAAAACAGGGTTCTCTAGAAATTAGGGGAGGTGGAGGGATGGGCGAGAGCAGAGCCCAAATTGAGACGTGCAGGAAAGCGAGTCCGGGTGGTGCTGACACAGCGGGCTCAGCCAGGCTCCCAGGCAGCACTGACTGCTCAGTCGGGACTCTGGGGTCCCTGGATGCCACACAGAAGCCAAAGGTGGGGCCTCTGGGGACCCAGCAGGAGAGACCCCCCTCTTCCTTGGACAGAGGACCAAGGATGAGAGCATTACCAGGAGATGAAAAGGTGCATGTCTGTCGGAGGGGAGTCTGCAGGAAGGGCCTGCCGACCACCGAGGGGCTCCACGCCTGCACAGCCAGCCGAGCATTGCGATTTGCCTGAACCCTGTGTAGTAAATGCACAAATGCCCTCTTATGTAGGGAAGCTGCTGCGTTACACAGGTTAGAGAAAGGGAAAGGTCCAAGACCTCAATGTGAATTTAGAAGGAAAATGTCTCTCTACTGCCTTCTCTTCCATCCTTAGCAGGACCTATGAAGGTTAACTTGTGACCAATGACTAAAGGAACCCAACTGGAGGCTTCTTTTGTCGAAACCACCGACGGAAGGAGTTACACTTTAAAACTATATATAAACACGTTGCGTAAAAAACATGGGGCTCATGAGAAACCGCTCTGTGATGTGATATGGTTTGGCCTTTATTCGGGTGGACAGAGGGCCTGGAGCAATTAGTTTAACAGAGCAAGAAACAGGCGGTTCAAAAGAGAAGCTTAAAGAAAGTCCTTTAGAGAGGCATGGGCAGGGTCAGGGGATAAAGAGGCTGCAGCACTCAAGGACTAGCAGGAGCCGGGGAGGGACAAGCCCCCAGAACCTGGCGGCGCTCTAGTCACAGGGATGCGGCCTCTGCCAAAGCCGTGGCCCGCAGAGGGAGAGGACAGAAACACGCTGATGGCTCCAGCCTCTGGCTACCTGACGTGCCCAGTGGCTGAGCCCAACAAGAACCAGAGCAGGGGAGCAGGGTGGTGCCATCCCTGGAGGGCCAGCCTCGCAGGCAGCAGAATGGATCTGGAGGGGCACGTGGAGAAGAGGAAGCACAGGCGGTCTCCATCATTCCAGAAGTGAAATCTTCCATACACTGTGGTTTTAGAAAGTGTTATTTTATTCCCAAGAGAGCATCGAAAAGGAAGGTACTGCCTGAGAGGGCCTACAAGTAGACAGGACACAGGGGACCCTAAAGGATCAATGGTCTTAGGGCCAGAAATGGAAGCCTGGCACCACCGCCGGGAGCCAGGTGGGGGGAGCACCGTCGACAGGGCGCCCAGGGGGAACGCACACAGCTTTGCTGCTGGGAGCCTCAGTGCCCTGCTGCGTCCAGGCTCTAAGAGGCCAGTGAACTTGTGCTCTCTTAGATTCTATCACCTCTTAATCGTGGGGTCTTGACCTCAGAGGCTGGCCCCTCCTCAGGGGAGGACCTTCACTGACCACTTAAGGCAGTTATCGTTCATCTAAATGCCAGGCTGCCCTTTCCCCTGCTGCCACAAGCCCTTCTCCGAAGCCAGCCTCTCGGTCCTGAGACACAGGTGACCGTGTGCTTGCACTTCCCCCTGGCAGAGAAGATGCAGAGCCTGGCACTGGGTCCTGAGTATTTGCACAAGCAGAGTGTTGGCATCAACTTGTGTGACAACACACTTACTTGTTTCCTGGCAGCAGGGCCTTGCGTTATTGCTATGAGTACATCAAAGCACAAAGCTGGTGGCCCAGGACTAGCTGCATAAGGAAAGCCTCTCCTCCCCTCTCCCCTCTCTTCTCTCGTCTGCAGGCAAAAAGGCAAATATAATTTTTCTCCTTTCAGCATAGATGCAATGTTTTCCCTTCTTTTGGCCAAGGTCATGACCCGACACCAAGCTATACCTTCACCACCAAAATAAACCTGTTTAACAGTAGAGTACCTGGATGCTGGCAGAATATAACTCAGCAGTTTAGGAGAAACCATTTTGCAATCGCCTCTGCCTGCAACCTGACTCTCATATGTCCATTTTTTTTAATGCATATTAAATTAAAAGGCATTTAATGCATATATGCCTTCCCCCGGACTCCTTTATTCTTTCTTTCTAGTCATTTTTTCCTACCCTGGATAGATACATTGCTTTTTAAATCTGAGTATTATCAGCCCACAGTGATGGAGTGGTCACTACCAAAGCAGAAAAGTCTATTCAACCAAAGTGAACAAACATGGGCTATTGCACAAACACAGGCTAAGCACAGGGAGAACAGATATGGCACTGTCATTCCTGTCCTGGAGCTCACAGACCAAGAAAGTGGGACAGGCACATGGCTGAATTAGTCAGAAGGAAGTTCCATACGAGGCATGAATGTTATTGGTGTTTGAGTGAAAGGATGATCCCCTCAGTTCATCCCAGCAGGATCACCAGGTATCTTTAGGATTGGAAACTGGCAAAGCAGCATTGCCCCAGGTTACCGGATATGGCTTAGTTGGTGTGGTGGGTCATGATAGGAAGACGAATGGGGGTAAAATCTTACCAAAGGATTGGGAGTAAAGGAAGGAGGCAAAAAACATGTGGCCACACAAGATGTGATGGAGAAAGGGAGGTGGGCGTGTAGAAGGCTGCAGTCAAGCTCATTTGCAGGCGATGAACGTAGGTGTGTAGGCATCTAAAATAGAGTAGAAAGAGTCACTGAGGTTTAAGTCAAGAAACTATGAGATGTGGACAAAGAAAGCTGTCAATCTTGATGCTGAAATCCCAAAGTAGACATCAGGGCAGGGGACAGAAAAGTCTGGGAGAATCAAAGTCCCCAAACAACACAGAGCAGCCAGAGTACAGGAAGCATATGGGTTTAGGAAGAGGGGAGTAACAGCACGAACTTCAAAAGAGAAGGACTGTTGGGAGGAGGTAGCAGAACGATGTCCCAGAAGGGAGATGAGGCACTGGCCGCATGCTGACCCGCATCCCTGGGCGCTGGGGTGAGATGTGCAGAGTTGGGGAGGAATGGGGAGGAGTGTGGTGATGAGAGACTGTCTCTTCTCAGTGGAGTCAAGCTCTGGGGACCACAGAAGGAGCGGGGTGATGAGAGTCCTGGAGGAGAATGCAGGCTGTGGGCTGGGTTGGGGGTGTCCGGCGTGGTGACTTCACAGATGCTGAGAGGATGTGGAGAGAGATGAGGCCGGGGAGGGCCTGGAGGGGGCAAGGACAGGGACCTGCCATGGCTGTGGTCTGGACTGGAACCTGTGTCCAGTGTCTGCTCTGCTTCTAAGCTGCTTTCATAAAGAATACAGATGGCCGGAAGCCATGAAAAGATGACCCTTCTTACAAGTAATCAAGGAAATGGGAATTAAAATGCATGACCATGGGCTTCCCTGGTGGCGCAGTGGTTGGGAGTCGCCTGCCGATGCAGGGGACACGGGTTCGTGCCCCGGTCCGGGAAGATCCCACGTGCCGCGGAGTGGCTGGGCCCGTGAGCCATGGCCGCTGAGCCTGTGCGTCCGGAGCCTGTGCTCCACAACGGGAGAGGCCGCAACAGTGAGAGGCCCGTGTACCGCAAAAAAAAAAATAAATAAAAGCATGACCATCACTCCCTAAATGATGCTAATCCAAGCCACAGTGGGGATGAGCTCTCCCAGGAAAAAAGCAGAGAATGAGGAAAATAAGACGACCCAGTGTTAAATGCTGCAAGGAGGGCAAGGCTGCAAAGAGGCAGGGATGCAGCAATCAGAGAGACAGCAGGTGTGGCGTCTCAGAAGCCAAAGGGCCAAGCACTTCAGAAGAAGAGAACAGTTGGGGTGCACGGTGCGGCTGAGAGGTCAGCTGGCAGGTCAAGCAAGGTGAGGACTGGGCAATGGCCATGGATTTGGCAATGTGGAGGTCCCCGTTCACCGAAGGGAAGGAGGGTGGAAGAGAGTCAGGATGCCTAGTCTTCCGTAGAGGCTGTGTCATGGCAACAGGGGTGGATGAGGAGATGGGCTGTCTCCCTTGAGACATGGCAGCTGTGAGTCGGGGTGTGGAGGACCCTGGACCTGAAGGAGGCAGGAGGGAAGAGGCCTCAGCAAGGCAGCCGGAGGCCAGGCCTCAGGGGGAGACAGCCAGAGTGGGGCTCCAGTGACAGGCAGGAACAGCAGCGTCCAACTCCAGCAACGTGGCATTGACAACGGAAACAGAACGTCCTTGCAGTTGGTACACGGGGAACCTTTCTTTTTTTCCCCAATATCCCATAAATTGTTCTGAAATAAAAGTGCTCTCAAATGTAAATAGCTAGAGCCTCTTCAGAGGGAGATCTGGCAATATCGTTCACCACTTGCGATGTACAGACCTTCACAGTTCCCTTCTAGGAATTTCCCACATGGAGCAGCGCTGTCCCTGCTCATGGACGTGCCCTGGAGCTGCATGGTCAGCACAGCAGCCACCAGCCCCGCGGGACTCTCCAGCACTTGCGATGTGGCGAGAAGGACCATGACTGAGGAATTGGCAGTTCGGTTTTATCTAGTTCAAATTCACTGAAATGTAAGTACAGCATGTGGCTGGTGGCTACTGTATCGGACAGCGCAGCGGAGATAGGCTCTCATGGGGGTGGGAGTAGGCAGAGGTATATACTCACTGAGGCACGGCGAGTAACGGAAGAAGATTGGAACCTAAATGTCCATCAACAGGGCACTAGCCAAGGAAATTACAGCCCATCCGGATAATGGAATGTTAGCCCTGAAACAAGCCAAGATATATTGCTAAGTGAAAAACGGGGGTTGGGGGCGGGACAGGCAAGACAGTGCAGAGTACAGTCATGAACTGCTGTAGAAAAGGACAGGATATGTGTACATAAATGTGGATGCACTGACTATCTGGAAAGACATACCCCAAATGGGAGCATTCCCTCCAGGGAGAGAAACTCAGTGACTGGGTAACAGGCAGAAAGAAGATTTTTTACCTTTTCCACCTTCAGAAGAGGGTGCCATGTACAGCTGACCCTTGAACAACGCCAGGGTTAGGGGCGCCCACCCTGCATGCAGTGCAAATCCATGTATAACTTCACAGTGACCCTCCGTATCCACGGTTCCGCATCCACGGATTCAACCTTGGGTGTCGTAGTACTGAACGGATTTAGTGAAAAAAATCCACATAGAAGTGGACCCTCGCAAATCAAGCCTGTGTTGTTCAAGGGTCAGTTGTCCATGCTGTTGCTTATTCAGGTTAATTAATGAATCAATTAAAATAAAAATAGAAATAAAAAACTGGTTTATAAGAAATGCGTAGAAGCTGCAGAGTCAGGCACTATGTAAATTATCTCAAGTGGGCAGATCACATTTTTTCAATAGACATTTTGACACACACAGATCTGTAACACCCCCCAGCGCTGCAGCTGGCCCAGTATTTGGGGGAGGACTTCTGACTTGGCTCTGAAATTTGTTCTGGTAATCAATCTGGCTTCTCCCCTCTGCCTGCCCAGGTTCAAATTAAATTGTACACATGCTCTGCGATTCAGCCTAACAAGTCTAGCCAGAAAAGTTGGCCTCAGTGTCATTGTTGCTTGGCTGGAAGGAAGGGGCAGACAGAGCACAGCGCCCCGTTTCCATAGTGCCCTGTGGCAGCTTAACCACCTTGGATTTGCGTAATCCCCTTGAACGGAAAGGAAATGTCAACTGAGGGGCAGTGTGGTGTCACAGGAGGCCCTGGCTGGCAGGACACCTGTTGTCTCAACCCAGCTTGAGCACAGACTCAGCAGCCTGTCAGCCACACTCCCGTTCCCCAGATGGACCTCAGTTTCCCCCTCAGGACCAAGAAGCGGTTGAGTGGGCTGTAGCTCTGGCACCCAGGAACCCACAGCTCCTTTGTGGCTGGGAGGACAGCGTGGGTTCGGATGCACTAGGCCACACTGGGGGAGACCCTCAGGGCTGCGGCACAGGCCTGACTGGATGCCGCGGAAATGCCCTTCATTCTTCTCCCCGTGTGCTCTCCCCAGGGCTCCATTCCCCCTGCCTGCTTGCAGTGGGGAGGGCCGGGGCTTTGGAGACACCCAGCCCAGGTTGGGACCCCGGCTCGGCGTCAGTCTGACGCTCAGCTACTCCACCTCCACGGGACTGTTAGGAGCATTCGCCCAGACAGCTGTGTACCCGCTTGTACACAGCTGGTGCTCATGAAGGATGCCTCTGCGCTCTCCCCACACTGCTCCCTCGGGCTCCAGTCTGTGGGGTTCTGGCTGAGAACGGTGGTGGATGCAGATGCAAGCCCATTTTGCTGCCATTATTATTATTACTATTCCCAAAGCTTTCTTTCCTGTGATTTTAATCAGAGAAGGTTCTGATGGAGCCAACCACCCATCCTCCTACTCCCTTAAACCCACTCAATTGTAGATTAAGCCAGATTGTTACAAATTTGCAGCCAAAAATTAAATTAAATTTAAAAGCCAAATGATTCCAGAATCGATCCTTCAAGAACCTTTCTTCCATCCCTCCTTCCTCGAAAATCTATCCATACTCAGATAAAATATGTCTAGAACCTGGTAGCTGCCCTCAGCAGCTTTGAGGCTGGTGGGGGAGACAAATTCAGAAAAAATCCATTGTAATCCCGCAGGTGCTACCACAGAACAGGGATGTGTGTGATGAGAAGAGGTATCAAGGAACACTTCCTGGAGGAGGTGACCTGAGCTCAAAATAAGAGTAAGCATTAGGAGGCAAATGCGGGGGATGAGGGGTGAGGGGGGTAGTTTCCAGCAGAGAGGATGCACGCATGGACAAAGGGCAGGGGGCAAAAATGGCAGTCTGTGCCGTAAACTACCAGCAGTTTAGAACATAATGTGAGGGAGGAAGGGAGGCTGTAGCAGGCTGAATAACAGCCCCCAGAGATAACAGATCCTAACCCTGGAATCTGTATGTGTCACTTTATTTGGAAACAGGGTCTTTGCAGATGTGATCAAGTTAAGGATATAAAAATGGGGAGATTATCCTGGATTACCTGGGTGGACCCTAAATGAGATCACATGTACCCTTAAGAAATGGAGGCAGCAGGAGATGTAACTGCACAGAGGAGGAGAAGGCCATGTGACCACGTCGGCAGAGACGAGTGATGCAGCCACAAGCCAAAGACCTACCGGAGCCACCAGAAGCTGGTAGAGGCAAGGAACAGGTTCTCCCCTGGAGATGAGATGAGAGATGAGAGTCTGACAGAGAACAGACAGTCAGGACTGCTGCGCAGGGCCCATTCAAGAGCGGTTTATGAGACAAAATTGCTCTCTGGGTTAAAGGGGGCCGAGAAACCCCAGAGCTGCCACAGGGCGTGTCTAACAAAAGGGACTGGTAGGGCTGCGGCAGTTCCCACTTCACACGGACACCCTGGGCCGGTGGCCCTGCCTCTGAGGGACCGACAGGGCTCCCTTCCTGGGCCTTGCACCCAGGCCTCTGAAGGGAGGGATGAGCCTCAGCCATCGTTAGGACCCCTCTCTAGCCCCTCAGGTGTGCGAGCGGAGCGCAAGCTGCCTCTGGGAGAGGACAGTCGGGATCCTGACGACACATCCTTAGGAGCCGGCATAGCACAGGTTTTTGTCCTGTTGGGACCAAGATAATTGGGGCATTAATGGAAATGCATTTCTTACCTATTTTCTGTCTGATTGAAAAGTACTTTGCAGTCATTTAGGGCCCTCACACCCCTATAATCAGAGCACATGTCGCTCAGACAAGGCAGAAAACTGGGTCACCACACAGGCTCCAGAGCCTCTTGGATGCAATAAGCAAAGAGTACAGGCCCACCCCCTTCCTGTGCCCCACCAAGGACATCGCCAGCTCTGTGCAGCCCCTCAGTGATGGCCAAATTCAGCAAACAGGCTGAATTTGGACTATCAGGGTACAACTTTATTTTTCTCCCATCTCTGCCTCGCATCAACTATGTCAGAGCTCCTTTTCTGTACCCCTGAACCGCCATCTCAGGAAGAGTCCATGGCCTTCTTTTAGTTTGAAGAATAAGTCTCATTTTGATAGTTCAACTCCCTTCCAGGGATCTAAAAGTCCAGTCAAATCTATTAGAAAACTGTGATCTCGGACCTTTCGCAGCTTCTCCCCTCGCCCCTCTGTAGACCCCGTCTTCACTCCTCCAGGAACAGATGAGGGAGGATGGAATGAGGGGGGAAGTGCAAAGTCGTCCTGCTCTCTGTGGGGCTCTCTTGGCCAACACCGGCCGTCACACCTTCGTCTTGACAGGCTGGCTCTCGTGTGGGCCTGTGGTGGGATCTCTGGAACCAGTCCCCAGCCCACCACCCACGCAGAGACCTCTGCCCCGGGCCTTCTGTGGTGGACATGGAGATGGCTGCCCAGACACCCCCGCAAAGGAAGGGCCTGTTGCCCAGCTGCTGTCAGCCCCAGGGACAGTCACAGAGAGCTGTTATCCTTCCAACGGCAGGTCCACCGATGGCTGATGGCGGCCCGGGCATAGGGCCTGGCCAGCTCTGACAGGCACCTTTGGGATGGTTTAGGCCTGCAGCACAGCTCGGCTTCCCTCTGCCCACCCTGTCTCCTCCCCTCCCTTTCATAGTGCTGCTCCTGGGCCACTCCCTAATAAACAACCCCACACAAGCGTCTCAAGTCTGCTCCCCGGAGAACCCGCACGTGACCCCTTTAGCAAGAAGCACATGCACTCGGGCTGACGCCTCCCCACCCATCTCAGCTCCTGGCCCTGTGGCCCACCCCACCCAGGGTGCTGCTGCGGGGAGCCCTGAGCCCCGTTAGGTGAGTGGGGTACCGGCAATGCTGGCTCAAGGCCAGCTCCCTGCACAGTCCCCCCTGAGCCACAGGGACCTTGGGGACGCCCCACTTATCCCTGCCCCACCAAACGCCAGCAGCATGGCCTACCCAGCTGCTGCCCCATCTCCCTTTGCCCCACTCTGCCAGCCTCCCTGCTCCAGGCTTCTCCCGGCTGGAAGCAGGCACCACCCTCCGTCTTCATGTATATGCCCTCCCCACTACCTGTGAGATACCATCAATGTTTTGCTCCCAAGAACTCTCTTGAACCCTGCCTTAGAGGTGGCATGGAGCAGGTTCTGGTTTTCTGCAACTCAGTACGCTCCCAGCCAGGGCATGAGACACCACCCTCCCCTTCTGGTAGGGGCCCCAAACTCTGCAAGCTCTTCCCCCATCACTTGACTTCAAAGCAGGGCCAAGCAGTCCTGGCTGTACAAAGCAGTCCTGCGAATTAGTTGTGCTTGCACTAGATTTGGAAGGAAGAAGAGAGGCAGGGACCATGGCCTCCCCGCTGCTTTGGCTGGGGAGATGTTGGGTTTTTCGTCAGTGTGGAGAGGTGGTGGCGGCAGTGGCCGCGGCGGCGTCCCCATCTCTGGGTCAAAGAGAGGCAGTGGTCTGGGGTCGCCCACGGCCTCAATCACTCCTGAAGCCCTGCCTTCCTGATGGGGCAGAGGCAGCAGCTCTCTAGAGGGTCTGCAGGGGTGTTCTGGGCCCTTCCAACAGTGTTGTAAACACTGAATTTCCAGTAACAAATCCTCTTCTACCTAAAACAGCCAAAGTGGTTTCTGTTTCCTGCAACTGTGAACCTGACTGGCACCGGACACCTTTTCAAATTCCGAATCTCTTCCCTCGCCTGGATGGGGTGGCGATTGTTGGATTCGTCTTGCCATCTTTTAAGTCCCGCATGGATATGACTAGCCCTTCTATTTATCAGCCCTTCTCATCCTCAACTGAGCACGTGAAATCCTTGGGGATCCTTGTTAAAATACAGGTTCTGATTCGGTGGGTCTTGGGTGAGGCCTGAGAGTCTGCATTTCTGACAAGTTCCAGGTAATGCCTTTGCAGTATTCCCACCCCAGACGTGCTGAAGAGCACAGCTTTAGTTTGTGAGGGTACTGAGCATCTGTGCTCCTCAGCTGGGCCGTTAGTGGAAGTTCCAGGGCAGCAGGAAGAAGCCCCTTTACCGTAAATCCTGCGTAAGCAGGGCCTGGGCCAGGTGCGTGGGAGGCGCAAAGATGAGTCAGACACACTCGGGGCCTCCAGGATCAGTGAGCCATCTCCTACTGGGCACAGAGCCCGGTGGGCCGTGGGGACACAGCCTCCCGCCTTCTCCATGCCTGGTGACTAAAGGATTTGTCCCGCTCCCCAGGCACAAGCCAGCAGTGCTTCCTGCTTGGATAAGGGTTTCCGCTCCTCAACAGACGAGCACTTTAGGAGCACAGTGGGGCAAGGCGCTCATCCCAGAAGTGGACTAAGGAAGGAAGGCGCAGGGGGCTGCAGTTGCCGAGCTGGGCCTCTGCCCCAGTGACAGGGTGAGGGCATCATGGGTGGGCGAGGAGCAGTGGAACCACTGCTGGAAGGCCAGGCTGGGTGGCATGCTCTGTAAACAGTCCTCCTGAGCCATGCGAGGGTCATCATGGGCAGAGTGGGGGCAGGGTCGGGCTTGGAATGCTGAGGGAAAGGACTGACAAGGGGCTGAGGCCAGACTGGGAAGGCCCTGCAAGGGAATTTGGGGGGCCCCTAAGGATCCTGAGCAGGGCTCTAATCAGAGGCATGACAGCATCGGGAGGAGATGGAGGTGGTGGCCCGAGGAGCAGAGACACAGGATAAAAGGGTTCCAAGGGCTTCCCTGGTGGCAAAGTGGTTGAGAGTCCGCCTGCCAATGCAGGGGACACGGGTTTGTGCCCCGGTCTGGGAAGATCCCACATGCCGCGGAGCGGCTGGGCCCGTGGGCCATGGCCGCTGAGCCTGCGCGTCCAGAGCCTGTGCTCCGCAAAGGGAGAGGCCGCAACAGTGAGAGGTCCGCGTACCGCAAAAAAAAAAAAAAGGGTTCCAAGTTCACATGTCCTCCCACCAGCCCCGGATTATAGGAGCCCAGCTCCGTGGGCCTTATTAGCTATCTTTTATAAACAGACCCATTCACTCAGCTGGCTTTCATGTTTCTTCAAAAGCAGAACACTAAATGGAACACCAGAAAAGAACATGTTGTCCATTTAGATCACACCAAAAGCATGTGCTTTTGAGGGGCAAATGGAAAATAGCCAGTAGAGCACTCAATAAACATGTGTTGAATGTGTCAAATGCATGAATGAATGTATAAGCCTAGAGCAAGCTGCCTTGTGCGGGGGCGGGGGGGGGGTTCCAGGGGAGTCCAGGTCTGCCCTGATCACAGGCAGTGCGGCACTGGGCAGCCTGTTCCTTGGGACCATCCCTCTGCTCCAGCACACCCGGTCCAGATTCACTGAAGTGCTGACTGATCACTAGAAGTTTACAGATCTCTTTACTGACATGACATCTTGACTTAGTATGGCCAAAATAAAACTCTTGATTCTTATCCTCTCCCCAGAAACCCTTTCCCTCTCCCAGTCTAACGTAAGGTAGCTAATGAAACCACTTACCCAGTTCCGGCCAAAAAACTTTGGATGCATCCTGGATTCCTTTGTCTTACCTCTACGGGGAACTCATTAGCTGGTCCAGCTGGCCCTACCTCCAAAATATGTCCCTGTCTGACCACCTCTCACCATGTCTACTGCTACACATGTCTACTGTCTTGTCTGGCTTGTTGCCTTGGCCTCCTAAGTGACCTCCCTGTTTCCTACCACCCCTTCCCCTGAGCACAGCCCATTTTCCACGTAGCAGCCAGAGGGATCTTTTTAAAATATAAACCAGATGTCACTTGTTTATCAGTTTCCTAGTTTATGTTCTGTCTTGTCTACTAGAACGGAACTCCATGAAGGCAGGGACTTGTGGATTTGCAGTGCCCAGGGCCTAAGAAAGTGCTCAGTAAACACCTGTAAATCTCACCGAATGAAGGAGCCTAAGCCAGTGGCTGGAGTGAGGACCTCATCTCCAACATCAGTCACCCAGGCTGCCCTGACTGGCCCATACTGCAGGGAAGCCGATACCCAGCTGCAAACTCAGCCATGTTCCAGATAATGCCATGAGAATGTTGACGAGCATTAGAAAATGTAATTTTTTAAAAATGGTTTTCTAGAACATTCCTGGAGAAATGGTCCAAAACGATAAGGAGAAGACTCTGGATTACCAACAAGACGAACAACTAAAATGATATATAGGAGTGGATTCTGGAGTGTTATCTAGAATTCAAAACATTAGCCAGTGTCTGATTCTGAAAGGACACCATACTGATGTCCCCAGAATGTGACAAAAGAATTTAGAAATGAAAACAGTGGGGATGTTTTTCTTCTTCTTTTTTTAAATAGGTACTTAATAGGGCTTCCCTGGTGGAGCAGTGGTTGGGAGTCCGCCTGCCGGGGTGGGGGACGCGGGTTCGTGCCCCGGTCTGGGGGGATCCCACATGCCGCGGAGCGGCTGGGCCCGTGAGCCATGGCCGCTGGGTCTGCACGTCCGGAGCCTGTGCTCCGCAATGGGAGAGGCCACAACAGTGAGAGGCCCACGTACCAAAAAAAAAAAAAAAAAAAA